TCTTCAAACGTTTAATCCCTTTCAGGTAAATTATCCAGTTGTATGTAACCGATGCAAAACAGACTTCTTTCTAAAGACGCTGATTTCAAGCAACACAAACTGCTGTTTTAATTTGCTGTGGAATTAAGCAGAATCATCGGTTCACTGCTACATGTAGTGTGTGTGTGTGTGTGTGTGTGTGTGTGTGTGCCTTAACCTATGTGTGTCAATGCTTGTCTGTAAAAGCAGTTGTATAAATGAAACAGTATTATTAAGTTTAAAGTTTATTTAATGAAATTATTTACAGTGACCCCTCGTTTAACGAACACCTCGGTTAACGTAATTTCGATTAACGAACTGCCTTCCATAAGGATCTTCAATTCGGTTAACGAAAAAAAATTCGGTTAGCGAAGTTCTTACGAACCGACCTCAACATGTTTTCGCTTGCACTGACCGGGCAACCAGCTTTAGTATCAGTCCGCCAATACATTAATCGGTTCTAGGGCTTAAATTCCTTACTATTTTAGTAAATATCAAGAAGTTTATACTATTCAATAATTTTAAAAGTTTAATATTCAATTTTTTAGTCATTTTAACAATTATTTAACATAATTGAAGGTAAAGTGACTAGTTTAATGTCTGATCAGCCTCATAACACAGCAAACAGGAGTTAGTCTCTCTCTGTTTTCACTGGAGGTAACATCTTGCTTGAGACTCTCTTCAACTAAACGCTTTTTTCTGTTTCCAAATAAATTATTGGTCATTTTGAAATATATTTTACATATTGACAATATATAATGCAGTGCAGTGTTGATTTAAAGAAAATAATCTTGAATTACACCAAGAGAGCTAAAATTTTATGGGTGAAATGGCGCCATGGGGTGACTTCTCTTCCACCCCAATGCCTTCTCTTCTTCCTTCTCCTCCACCCCCATTCTAAATCCCATCATCATCATCATCATCCAGGAGCCTTCTACATACACACCTCAAATTAAGCGAACTTTTCTACCATTTTTGTTGAATTTAGGAAATTTTCGGTGAGCTGGAACCAATTACCCAAAAACCCATTGAAACAATGGTTTCGGTTAACGAACTTTTCGGTTAACGAACGACCTTCTGGAACGGATTGAGTTCGTTAACGGAGGAGTCACTGTATTTTACATTCCCTGTGAGGCATTAAAAATATAAATCTATATATAATGCTTTATTTATTCATCTATTTATTTTGTTTCAATTATATGTCATGGAATGGATACTACACAGTTTCTACGAAATGAAAAACTTTCCAATGCGATCCTGTGGTGAAACAGTTTAAAAACAAGGTTTTTTTTTGCAGGCAAACAATCAATAATCGAAAGAAATGTCATTTAAAATATATAATAAGCTAAGTCTACTCAGATGACAATCGCAAGGACAGTTGAAAGGTCTACAGCGATACAATACACATGCTACGGGATTAGCTATACCTTCAGTACAAGATTTCACTAATTGATGTAATATTTTTTATAATTAATAAAATCGGCTAGGGACCCCGTCGAAATCGACTTTCTTCACGAGCGCGTGCGTATGTTTCCATGCAAGTGTGCATGAGTGTTGGAGCATCATTTTAAGTTAGGAAATAATTATGAGGTAACGTTGGAACAGTTTGGTATTTTAGCAAGGATTTTTTCCTATTTCCTATAAATAAAAGGAGATAAAAATATATACAAATACAGTTAACCCTCACTTTACGCGGTTAATGTAACCCGGAGGGTACCGCGGAAAGTGAGGAACGCGTAAAGTGAATAACATAACATATGGGATTAATTGAAATGGAGTCCGGGCCGATCCCCAAACTCCACTTTTTGACGACACACAACTATGTTGTAGTAAAAATTTTATCTTAATTTTATGATGGTATGAAAAAACAAGTAATATAGAAGAGGTTAGGTTAGGAAAGATAAAGGTTAACATAGGAAAAATAAAGGTAAGGTTAGAAAACTAAAAATTAGGTGTAACTTACGGTAGTAGAAGAGATGGGTCGGCATACGGGGATGGAGGCTGGTTCCGAGGCAGAGGGCAGATTACTGGCCCTCAGGTGAATCACCATTACTAGGTGAATCACCATCACTGTCACTTACAGTTGTCAGGGCTTCCCTGACAAATCCCTCAAAGTCAACTTCACTGTCACTATCACTGGCTTGGGCTGGCTGTGGTGGGTTGCGGGCGAAGAAATCTGTTATGCTTTGCTGACGGCTGGCGTTGATGTTGTCGTGATACACCTTGATGTACGGCTCCATAGCCTGCACCAGCCGGGTATGGAAGACTTCATAGCGGTCATCGTCATTGTCGCGGGAAAGGAAGGACTTCATCTTCTCTGCACACTCCATGGCACCCTTAATATCACTATGACTTAAATTGTGTTCTTCGGAGACTGCCGCACCTTCTTCCTCCTCTTCACTGGCGTGTTCTTCTTCCAACATCTCGTCGGCAGTCACTTCAGGATTTCTGATCACCTCCAGGATGTCGTCGTTGGTGGTCTCGGAGAAGCCTGGAACTGTAACAGTCTGCGCAGCTTCTCTGGCAAGGTCCACTGCTACTGCAACATTCTGAACCTCACCAGTCACAGATTGACTCCTCCTCTCACCTGGTATTCCATGCAACACATGTCTCCATGCGTGACGAATTGTAGCAATAGACAGCTGATCCCATGACTCCACCAAGAAGTCCACAGCTTTCTTGATGTTAAATACTCTCCAGAATTGTTTGAAGAGTATTTTTTGCTGTTCTAACTGTTGATCCTCATCTTCTTCGCTCTTGCTATCGGTGGTGGTGTCACTCAGGTTACGCAACTCTTCCCTGGTGTTGGTGTAGTCGTTCAGGAGCTGGAATTTTTTTGTTGAGAATGCAGCTTTCACATTGCAAATCAACTCCTGGTCCATGGGCTGGATTAAAGACGTAGTGTTGGGAGGAAGGAAGACCACTTTTACGTTGGGGTGACGATCTAACAGTAGGGGCGAGTGTCCTGGTGCGTTGTCCAGCAGCAACAAAATATTAAATGGGACATTCTGTCGCTCACAGAATTTCTTTACATCGGGAACAAAACAGTCATCAAACCAGGAGAGGGACAGTGTAGAGAACATCCATGCCTTACGTGCGGTCAGCCAGTGGACATTTAGCTTGGTCATGTCCATGCTCTTGTAGGCGTGCGGCTTGCGGGCTGTGTGGATCACCGATAACTTGAGCTTACAGGTACCGGAGGCATTGGTGGTAAACAGGACGGTGATGCGTTCCTTCTGCATTTTCCGGCCCCGAATCCTGCTGGCATTCTTCACAACGAAGGACTTGGAAGGTAGTTTTTTCCAGAAAAGATCAGATTCGTCCATGTTAAACACCTGGTCGTCACTGTACTGTCCTTCCTCCATAATCTCACGTAAAAACGGAGGAAATTCCCGAGCCACAGCATGATCAGCACTCGCTTCTTCACCACCAATGTTTATATTGGTGATCTTGTTCCGGATCTTAAACCTCTGTAACCACCCAGAGGAAGCATTAAAGGGTTTGGGCTCTGAAGTTCCCATCTTTCGTGCCACTGCCATGTACAGTTCACGTGCGTAGTCCTTAACAGAGCGCGTGTCGACCGCCATGTTCCGTCGCGCCTGACGCACCAAGTACCTCACAAGTAATTTTTCTGTCTTGAGAAGCACCTGGTTGTGAAAATACTTGATCATAGAAGCACCTGTAGACTTTGTGATCTTCATGTGCTCCTTTATCTTGGCTGAATCCTTCTTTATAGTCCGGATCGTAGATTCGTTCACGCCATGCTGGCGCGCCAAATCAACCTGCCTTGTTCCTTTCTCCAACTCTTGGATGATGCTATACTTCACCTCGTAGCTTAAGGAACGTCGTGTCTTCTTTGGTTTAGTGCCGCTGGGTCCAGGTAAGGAAAGGTTTCTCTCTGGGGGTGGTGGTCCGGCGGAAGCCATTTTACGGAACAATGGATGCGCGTTTACACGGAGTGGCCTTGAGGGATGAAACTGCCGCGGCTAGGTCAAGCGTCGTCTTTCCTCCCTCCCTCCCTCCCCCCCTCCCCCGGGTGGACACGTCATAATACTTTAAGCCAATTACAGCTAGCAGCAGAGGGGGGTAGGGATGCATGGCCAATCACAGGTCTGATACGTCATATGACGTCAGTGATAACGCAACAAAGACATCATACTGCGCAACCTTACCGCGCCGCTTGCCCAAGCGGAGGGAGGAGGAGGGAGAGGCAGGCAGGCAGGCGGGCGGGTGGCGGGTGGGGCGAATCTAAAAATAGCGTCGCGCCGGACACTCTCCGCGTAATGGGGTTCACGTACCGCGTAATGTGAGCATGTGAGGTTCTGGCAAGGCACCGCGTTAACGTGGAAACGCGGAATGCGGGACCGCGTAAAGTGAGGGTTAACTGTATTAAAAAGCTGAAATTTATTGATATTTAACCCATTGGAAACGAATTTAAACTTAGAACAGATTACTGAATTGGCAGACTGTGCCATCAGCTGATTCTCACAACAATAAACTGGTATGTTAGTTTCCTCTACAGTACTGCATATATTATCAATATTCAATGTTAAAATGACTAATAATTTTAATATAAAACATTCAAAAATATTAAAAAGCTCAACTTAAATGATATTTAATCCACTGGAAACGAATTTAAACTTAGAACAGATTACTGAATTGGCAGACTGGGCCATCAGCTGACCAGCTGATGCTCACAACAAAACGTGATTTTTGTAACGATCTCGTTAATCAAATTTTTGTTCGTTAACCAAATTGAAGATTCTTATGGAAGGTAATTCATTAACCAAAATTTTGTTAACAGAGGCGTTCGTTAACAGAGGGACCACTGTACAATATATGAAAAGTTTGACCAAAAGTCTATCTCATATACTGTATACTATAATGTCACCATGTAAGACAGAAATATTGTAGTCTTATTGGTTTATAAAATGTAGCGTCTTTGAAAATATTTAACATCACAAAATGTAAATTACACTTACCAATGTATGAAGTGGTCAGGTTGAAACACTCTGGCAGGTTGACCACATAGTACTCATGATCAGATAATTCAGTATCAGACTCGTTTAATATAGCCTGGTCCTCTGAGTCTAATTCTGAGAATGATCCACTGGAGATACTTAGTGCATCAGACTGCAAAGTCTTTGGAATGTCAGTATGCCCATACTGAGGTCTGGTTTCCCCTTGCTCATCCTTTCCAATGACACACTCTCTCAGAGATTCAACAGATTCTTTGGCCATTTCTTTCAGTGGAATCTGTAAAGAGAAAAGCAATTTTTCAGATATGGAAAATCATATAGCATCTCATTCAGTTTGGTTTCTACTAAGATATACATATATATATATATATATATATATATATATATATATATATATATATATATACACCTAAGCAAACTTACGACGGGGTTGGGACTAAATCCAGGTCAGCGGGTCAAAATGTGGTCGTAAATTACGTAGATAAAAAAAAAAAAAAAAAAATTTTTTTTTAATAAAAAATCTACAATGAAATACAGTACAGTAAAAGTAATGAATAATGATGAATGGATACAGTACAGTGAAAGTAATAAATAATAAGGAATGGATACAGTGTGACTGAGCGCTTAACCTTTAATGTAGTCAGCTGAATGCACATGGGGCCCCCATAATTTTCTAATTATACATGGAGACTACATTAACTGGAAACGTTTCGGTATAGAAAATGCGTGTGTCATTTAAATTTATTTTATTTTATTTATTTATTTTTTATCTATATCTGAGGCGGTCGTAAGTCCCGACGGTCGTAAGTCCACGTAGTCGTAAGTCGGGGTCTAGGTGTATATATATATATATATATGCTGATAAACAAGGAAAGAAGATGTAGATGCAAGCGCTTAGAACTTGTTGTTTTCTTCTTTCCTTGTGGTTATCAACATATATCCAACGCACCTACAGTGATTTACTTGCATATATATATATATATATATATATATATATACGTATATATATATATATACGTATATATATATATATACATATATATATATATACATATATATATATATATACAGTATTACCCCGCCTAACGCGGTTTCACTTAGCGCGTTTTACCGTATACGCGGTGCCTCGCCAGAGCTGAATTTTCACTTAACGCGGGTTTTTTCCACGTATACGCGGTGAGTGTCCGGCTCGAGAGCTATTTTTAGATTCGCCCCACCTCCCACCCGCCACCCTGCCTGACTGCCTGTTTTAGCTCATAAAATTCATACAAATTACCCAGCCAGAATATAATTTACATTGCTGGAATTCTTACAATATGATGATCATTTTGAATATAAACATCATAGATTTTGCATTAGACATACAAATTTTAGATATAAAGTTTATTCTGAGTAAATATGTTATTTTTTGTGCAAAATATATGACATATGTATTCAAAATATTCCTGGGCTTACAAGGAATCCAGCAATGTCAATTATATTATCCTAACTTTAGTTTGAGGTATTATTTATTACTAAAAAGGTAAATATTCTGGTTTTCCCACACATCTGGTGGGACGGTTGGTGGGGGGGAGGGAGGGACCGACCGACCATCTGTTACAGTGTGAAGAATACAGTATTTTTTTTATTTTATTAACTGAAGATATTTGTTTTAGCTCATAAAATTCATACAAATTACCCGGTCAGAATATAATTTACATTGCTGGAATTCTTATAATTTGATGATCATTTTGAATATAAACATCATAGACTTTGCATTAGACATACAAATTTTAGATGTAAAGTTTATTCTGAGTAAATATGTTATCTTTTGTGCAAAATATATGACATTTATATTCAAAATATTCCTGGTCTTACAAGGAATCCAGCAATGTCAATTATATTATCCTAACTTTAATCTGAGGTATTATTTAATACTAAATGTTAAAAACTCTTGAAGGGAGGATTGGTGGGGGGTGGGGGGGAGGGTTGGGACTGACCATGCGGTTGGAAGAGGGGGAAGGCAAGGTGGGGTACTTTGATTGACAGATAAGGTCCTGAAGATTATTTTATTTTTTTATTAACTGAAGATATGTGTTTTAGCTCATAAAATTCATACAAATTATCTGGCCAGAATATTCCTGGTTTTACAAGGAATCCAGCAATGTCAATTATATTATCCTAACTTTAATCTGAGGTATTATTTAATACTAAATGTTAAAATCTAGTTTTTTCACCCAACCTTTTTAAGGGAGGATTGATGGGGGATGGGGGGGAGGGTTGGGATGAGATGGATCGACCATCTGGCCCGGTTGGAAGAGTGGGGAGGCAAGGTGGGGTACTTTGATTGACAGATAGTGTCGTGAAGAATATTTTTTTTTTATTAACTGAAGATATTTGTTTTAGCTCATAAAATTCATCCAAATTACCCGGCCAGAATATAATTTACATTGCTGGAATTCTTACAATTTGATGATCATTTTGAATATAAACATCATAGATTTTGCATTAGACATACAAATTTTAGATATAATGTTTACTCTGAGTAAATATGTTATTTTTTGTGCAAAATATATGACATTTGTATTCAAAATATTCCTGGTCTTACAAGAAATCCAGCAATATCAATTATATTATCCTAACTTAAGTTTGAGGTATTATTTATTACTATACCTGGTTTTCCCCCAAAAATTTCTCAGAGGGAAGAGCCAGCCAGTGTAGTGTGAGAAGAGGGGGAGGGAGTTGAGTCCATTATTTGAATGGACATTAACTCGGCAACTGTATTTCTCTATTTCTCTTAAGTATTAATTGTGTGCATGTACCATCATAAAATTAAGATGTTATTTTTACTAGAACATAGGTATTGTGTTGGAAAAAGTGGAGTTTGGGGGTCAGGTGGCCCCTATTTCATTTAATCCCATATGTTATGTTATTCACTTAACGCGTTTCTCACTTTCCGCGGTACCCTGTGGGTTACATTAACCACGTAAAGTGAGGGTTGACTGTATGAGTAGATGAACCGCGTTAAGTGAAAGTTCGGTTCTGGCGAGGCACCGCGTATATGAGAAATCGCGTTAAGTGAAACCGCGTAAAGCGGGGTAATACTGTATATATATACAGTAGTACCCCGATTTACGCGGTCAATTGAACCCACAGGGTACCGCGTTAAGTGAAATCCACGGAAATGGAACAACAGAACATATGGGATTAATTCCAATAGAGACTGGCCCGACCCCCAAACTCCACTTTTTCCGATACAATACCTATGTTGTAGTAAAAATAACATCTAAATTTTATGATGGTATGTTCACACAATTAATATTTAAGAGAAATACAGTCGCCAGGTTAATGTCCATTCAAATAATAGACTCAAATCCCCACCCCCTCTTCCCAGCTCACTGGCCCCTACCTCTCTGAGAAATGATTGGGTGAAACACTAGATTTTAACGTTTAGTAATAAATAATACCTCAGACTAAAGTTAGGATAATATAATTGACATTTCTGGATTCCTTGCAGGTCAGGGAATATTTTGAATGTAAACTTCATATATTTTGCACAAAAGATAAAATACTTGCTTTGTGTAAACCAAATTATTACATTAGAACTAAAATTTGTATGTCTAATGCAAAATCCATGATGTTTATATTCAAAATGATCATCATGTTATAAGAATTCCAGCAATGTAAATTATATTCTGGTCCAGTAATTTGTGTGAATTTTATGAGCTAAAACAAATATCTTCAGTTAATAAAAAAAAAATATTCTTCACCACACTATCTGTAAATCAAAGTACCCCACCTTGCCTCCCCCCCTCTTCCAACCACGGTCCATCCCAACCCTCCCCCCCACCCCCCACCAATCCTCCCTTCAAGAGATGTTGGGTGAAAAAACTAAATTTTAACATTTAGTATTAAATAATACCTCAGATTAAAGTTAGGATAATATAATTGACATTGCTGGATTCCTTATAAGACCAGGAATATTTTGAATATAAATGTCATATATTTTACACAAAAGATAACATATTTACTCAGAGTAAACATTACATCTAAAATTTGTATGTCTAATGCAAAATCTATGATGTTTATATTCAAAATGATCATCAAATTATAAGAATTCCAGCAATGTAAATTATATTCTGACCAGATAATTTGTATGCATTTTATGAGCTAAAACAAATATCTTCAGTTAATAAAAAAAAAAAAATATTCTTCACACGGTAACAGATGGTCGGTCGGTCCGTCCCTCCCCCACATCCCCCACCAACCCTCCCTACCAGATGTGTGGGAAAACCAGAATATTTACCTTTTTAGTAATAAATAATACCTCAAACTATAGTTAGGATAATATAATTGACATTGCTGGATTCCTTGTAAGACCAGGAATATTTTGAATACAAATGTCATATATTTTGCACAAAAAATAACATATTTACTCAGAGTAAACATTATATCTAAAATTTGTATATATATATATATATATATATATATATATATATATATATATATATATATATATATATATATATATATATATATATATATATATATATATATATATATATATATATATATATATATATATATATATATATATATATATATATATATATATATATATATATATATATATATATATATATATATATATATATATATATATATATATATATATATATATATATATATATATATAGCGCTTTCGTGAGTACAAACTAAGGAGTAACACTTGACAAGGCTAATATACAGTAGAGGAGAGTGAGGTTAAGTCCCTAGGGGACAGTAGGTGTCCACAATGTTCTGGTCATAAGGCAGTGACTCCACAATTACTAATCTTCTTCATAAAAAAATTGACCATGCCATCTCTGAGCACAGCAGCTGTCCGTAGTCAGGTCATAGGGTAAGATGACCCAACCTTCTCACCTGGTTACAAATCTTCTTAATCACAAAATTAACCAGTTTGTACATACCATAACTCAAATTCATGTTGACAGATTCGGTATGTTTAATGAGACTGGATTCTATAATGTTCCTACTGACAATTAAATTACAAGGTAATATTGAGGAGGCATTATCCCAGTCAATGCAATGTTTATTATCCCTCAAATGAAAAAAACAGAGTATTGGATTCCTGGCCTGTCCTAACACTATATTTATGCTGTTTAAGTCTAGTTATAAGATCTTTACCCGTCTGGCCTAAGTAGAACATATTACATTCCTTGGAAGGAACCTTGTAAATGCAGCCGCGTGCATTGTTGGGGGAGTTCTTAATTAACATATGTTTAAAAGAGCATGAGTTTTTAAATGTCACATTAACGTTCCAGGTTTTCAGTTGTATAGAAATTTGAGATAATTTTTTTTAAATGGTAATACTAAGAGATTCTTATTGTCATGGGCTCTATAAAAAGATTTCTTAGTAATGTTAAGGCATTTGTCTATAAAAGGCCCAAGACCCTCCAACTGTGCCTCCTAACCTTCACCATCAACCTCCTTGTCAGAGGGGGTTCCTCTTCACATGCTCATTTCTGACTCAAGAGTGACTGCAAGCCCCTTGCAGTCAGAGGTATGTCCAGCTGGATCTGCCTTCCATTTTTGGGGTAAGGGTACAGTACTTTGTGTACATTACTTAATTTTTTTAAATTTTTATTAAAAAACATGTATTTCTTTCATAAAAATTGGATACATTGGTGTTATACTCGTTGTTTGTTTAAAATAAGTCTTTTATTTAAAATTTCTTCTAATGTAGACAACCTCTTGTCCTGGACACCCCTTCCCCCCAATTAGTCCACCTTAGTGTGATTTTACTGTGTCTGTATGCACGTATAAATACTACAGTTCATACTGAACAGGGGATCTCGTTATACGAGCATTCTTTATACAGTGAGTTCTGCTATAACGCGTGTTTTGGTAACGCGAATTTGCTCTAACGCGATTTATGAATTAGGAACGATATTTGTATAACGCGAACGCTTGTTTGCTATAACGCGATTTTTGCTTACTATTTCTCCAATTTTGTGGTATTAACTGTGCATATGGTAAAGAAGAATATCTCCAAGAAGCGTCCTGGTGATAGAATTCCCGGTGATGATCGTAAAAGAAAGGATATAACACTTGAAGAGAAGCTCGATGTTATCAACCTCAAAATCACCCTTCTCCCCCATCACGTTGCATTCATATTTTTGCAAGGTAAAGTGTTACATTTACTGTATGATTTCATTATTAGATATGAATGTAACATTTATTTAGACTGTGCTATCCTTTGTGTTAAGCTAACTACTAAATTTTTTCGATTTCGAGAAATCTGCACCTAACCCTATTTTCTCCATAAGCCCTGTTATTTCTATTACGCGATTTTCTATAACACGATGTTTTACAAGAACACAATTATCGCGCTCTAGCAGAACTACCTGTACGATAATTCAATGATACAAGGTTTAGGAATTTGTACCTTATATTTGCTATATAAGCGATATTGTTCGATGATACGAGGAGCGAGTACAGTAACCACTGGGGTTAGTTAAACAGGTTGACAACCCTTTATCCGAAATTCCAAAAACCGAAAAGCTCTAAAAACCGAAAGTTTTTTTGGAGGGCAATTTAATTTATTTATTTATTTTTTTTATTTATTTTTTAACAGGGATTAGCCCACCCGGGCATAGATCACTGACCCACATCGGGGCCTGGGGGCGAAAATGTAATAGTAATAATAATTATAATAATTATTCATAGTAAATAAAAATTTTAATAAAAAATACACCAAAATAAAATAATAATGATAACAATAATAATAATAATAAAATATGATAATAAAATTATTAATAATAATAATACAGTAATAACAATAATACTGTAATAAAATAACAATAATACTGTAATAATAAAATAACAATAATAATAATAAAGAAATACAAGAATGAAAAAAAAAAGATCAAAAGTGAGAAACACGACCTACACCTATGAATTGTTATTGTTATATTAATTTTTATTATATTTTCGCCACCCAGGCCCCCATGTGGGTCAGTGACTTGTGCCCGGGTAGGCTATATATATATACAGTGTATAAAAAAAAAAAAAAAAAAAAATTAACCATTCTGAAAACCGAAAAATTCCGAAATCCGTAATGCCTCTGGCCCCAAGGATTTCGGATAAGGGATTGTCAACCTGTACTACAGACTTTTTCCTGTGAAAAAGCCATAATTTTGAGCAACATATTACTGTACTATCCTATACTAAAATTTTTATCTCTTGTGCAAACTATGTAATGTTCATACTGAAACTAATTGCTATCTTGCAAGGATTCCAGCAATGCAAGTTACCTTCTGCTAAATTTAGTCTGTGACATTTTATAAGATAAAAACTTTAAGCCTAAAACCACCTTCGCCCTGGCTGGGAGGATGGGGGAAGGGAAGGTGAGGTGTTGACACAGCCGGGCAGAGAAGGTTACCAAGTGCATAGTTATCAGTCAAATAAAGGAAGTTTAAGTTTTTCACTTAAAGAATGTTACTGAATTGACTTGGAAGAATATATCTTACATTGCTTGAATTCTTGCAAGATATCGATTAATTTGAGTGCAGACATCCTATAGTTTGCACTAGACATAAATGTTTTAGTATTTAACTTGGTTTGCCCTTAGGGCAATTATTTCTTTTACCCTTTTCACAATTGTATTTAGGATGGTGTGTGCTTATAAATGAGTAAAAATAAATGACTAAAGTTACATATACTACCTGAAAATGCGAAATGAAAAACAACAATAACACCTCACAGTTTGGCCCAGTAGCCTGGTGACTGCTGTGATGAGTCTAACTTGGCTCAGTTTACCCAGCCGAATAGGCGGAACAGGCAGTGACGTGGTTTATGACGTCTCATGATATAGATGCTCAGAGACATGTTTGAGAGCCACTCAGCCAGGCCACGCACCCCTCCCCTACCTCCCTATTGTCATCTCCCCAGCCAGATGCACAGAGATGTGTTTGTGAGCGACTCAGCCCGGCGACACACCCCTCCCCTGCATCCCTACCGTCCTCCCCCAGCCACCCTCTCCCTTCTCCAGTGTTTGAATCTGCTATCCCAGTTTGTCCGCTTGTACTGAATCGCATTTGTTTACTGTCATCGCTATATTCGGTGCTCTGGAACACATCCCTATTTAACCCATGTATTATTCCCTCCATTATACGAGTTTTCGCTAGACAGTAGAATATCGATATAACGCGAGATAAGTTCCAAGAGAGGTCGCTTTAAATCGAATTTGCACTAAATTGAAGTGTTATTTCAATGGAATAATTTAGTTTGGTACTTGAGAGAAACACAAAATACTAAAAAGACTTTTATTAAGTATTAAATATGAGAAAAATATATGGCGTAATGATATATAAGCAGCAAGCACTCATAAATCGACACAGCTAAAATTACGGGACACGAAATGGTCTGTTTACTAGCGATCAGCTGATGTGAGAGGGCGGTCGCGCTGGCACCGCACACCGCCCGCCTCTTGTCTGCCTCATTCCATCCCTATCACTTACCATGCACTCTCACTTTCCTCTCAACTTAGTTTTTCATTACTTTATGTTATCAAAAATAGATTTTCACCCACCTGAAATTAGGCAAGTCATCCTCTGAAGATGCAGTACGTATGTCCATTCACTTTTACTTTCACCTTTATCCTCTTCACCACTGATCGGCTCATTAGCCGCTTGGGTGATCGGTCACGTCTCTGTTATGCACTGTACATTTGAGTAAAAGTTTTTCAACTCATATTTTCGGGTAGATATACGTAACTTTCTCAATTTATTTTTACTCATTTAAATGCACACACCAATCTAAATATATATATTGTGAAAAAAAAAATAATAATATTTGTCTAAGGGCTAACCTGTACTGTACTCAAATATACTTAGTTAACTACTAAAAAATTTTGTCGAGTGCAAACTTTGGGATATTTGTACTTACACTAATCACTATCTTACAAGAATTCCAGCAATGTAAGTTACATTCTGCCAAGCCAATTCAGTGACATTTTATAAGCGAAAAACTTAAACTCCCTCTATATGACAGATATATAAATACAGACAGACCCCGACTTACGACTGCTACGACTTACGACCGTCGGGACTTACGACCGCCGCAGATTTTTTATTAAAAAAAAAAAAAAAAATAAAAATTTTTTTTTTATCTATGTCGGACTTACGACCATGTCGGACTTACGACCATGTCGGACTTACAACCTGGATTTGGGTCCCTAACCCCGTCGTAAGTCGGGGTCTATCTGTACTCACTAGGTAACCTTCGCCGCCCAGCTATCAACAACTCACCTCCCCTCCCTCATCCTCGCACTCAACTTTAATAACAAAGCATGGAGTTGATTTGAGGGTCGACTCAGATTTTTTCTACATTTTGTTGTCTTGTATCTGATTATTCTTTTGAGAGGATTCTTCCATTATCATTTATATGTGTTTTGTGTGTGTGCACACACACACACACACACACACACACACATATATACAATACATATAAAGGAAATAATTGTCCTAAGGGCAAAAAAATAAAGGGAATACGGTATACATTTCTTTGCACACGGTAAATTTGCATCCCCCAGGTCAGCAAATGATATTCGTGGCAATTCTGAGAACCAAATCCCTGAGAATTTTAAGGGCATACTGTACTGGCTAGAAATTGAACCTCCAACTGATTCTCTACAAATATCCTCAGGACAATGTGATCACAACAGACATATGAAGAATTTTATTATAAATTTATTTTCTTTTTTCCATATAATATATTAATGTAGACAAGCTGTTCTGTTCTATATCAGTAACTTTATTTTAAATGTAAACATATCCCCCAATGGAAAAACATTAAATGAAATCATATTTCTTTCCCAATTCCTTTAATTTTTTTTGTCTTTAACTCAAAACTTCATTTCCACCTTCATATATTTAAATGTCCTTAAAAAGGTAAAATATAAGTTCTCTGCTACTTTTGTAGTACTTAATCATATTAAATTTAATCTCCATGAATACATTACAATGATCAGAAAATTTGTAAAAATACTACTAACTACAGCAACATTTAACATAAGACCTGAAACAGGTCCTTCTATTTCCTATATGTTATATGTGGTACTGAAATTTTCCTAGCATGGTGCACTATTTTAACCTATACCTAAAAATGTAATAAAGCTGCAGATAGAACCTTTTATATGACTAGTTATAGCCATACAAGATATACTAACCACAGCATGTGCCTGGGGTGCACAGTGTGTTCTGGAGTAGAAGCTCCAGAGGAGAGCACACAACTTCTTTCCTCAAAAGAGATGAGGTCCTGCTCAATTCTCTTTGTATCCACAGCATCAGATACTACATCAGGGCAAGACAAAGTCAAACACTGCAAACTCTGAAGAAATAAGAAACGAACTCAAATGTAAATTCAGTAAATACTTAGTAAATATGTCAAATACATAAATATGAAGAACTAAAGCATGAAATCTCATACTAAAGCTGAATTGAGGATTTATAAAACTGAAGAAATACATCAACTAAATCATTCCCTTCTAGTCTCTATGATGACCAGAGGGATTGATGTGTTCTAGTGGCTGGCAACAGATAAGTGTGAATTGCTGAGCAGCTCCTCTTCCAACAAACAAGGATTTAGGCAATGCTTTGAACTCTTAATGATTACTTTGAGAGACAACAAAGCTTTAGTTTCATACAGTTAAAACCCTGACAAAGGTTAATTTTGCGTCACAAATCCCTGCAACTATAAATGTCAATGCTTCAAACCAACACAATGTCTACCAAGATAGAATTCTAAGTGAAAAGAGAAAAAAATTTGGCTTATTGTTTCCTCCCTTAAGCAATGAATGGAAGACTGATCCAGAAATCCCTGTTTCTGGTGGAAACTATTCCCAAGCAACTCTTGTGATATTGGGCAACTTAATAGGAAGAAAAAAGGAACCCATTCATACATTATGATTGGAAATTTAACCCAAGACTAATCACTCCTTAACTCTTATTATGATAACATACCATTGAAAGGTCCTTTTGAGCTGTATCTTCAGTATCATAATAGTTTTCAATAATTCCAACTTCAAGGTCTGCCCAGAGAAGGATTATCTGAATGACAAGGTTCCTCTCTCTGGCGGATGCAGGGTTACAAGGTAAACCAGAGAAAATTTCTGTATAATCCGCCTCTGTAGGACCACCGTATAGTTATCTATCATCTGTGTTAGTTGACGGAAATCTTTTATTTCCTAGTGAAAAAAAGTTTGCGTAAGTAATGCTTTTTCGTGATAAATAAGGATAGGAAGCTAGCTAAACTTAACTTAGCAGCATGTAATCACGAGAGATGAAGACTCAGCCAATTAGGCGGAATTGGATGGATCAGAGCCTGAAAAGTGAAAAAGATCTACTTGGGCAGCAAATGCCCCAAGTGTATCTGGGATTGCTTACTCTGAAATCCTGGGAAGCTTTTCTTACATGCAATAGCTTCAAATACGGTACAGTGATCCCTCGTTAGTTGAGATTTGGTTAACGAATCACTTCTATAAGATTCTTAACCGGTTAGCGGGCATTCCTCGTTAATAGATTCCTTGGCGCCTCATGTTTTAAGCTTGCACACTATTGTGTATGTGGTCTGCCTACAATAATCGGTTGTGGGCTTAAATTCCTTACCATTTTAGTAAATATCAGAAG